CAGCATAAATGTAGCATGTGTTCCATTTTACAACCACTTGGAAAGTTAAATAAGCGTTTGTGTTTCCCCCCTATGGACCTCTCTACAGGCAAACGTCCTGCAGAAGATATGGAGGAAGAGCAGGCCTTCAAAAGATCTCGGAACACGGACGAGATGGTCGAACTGCGCATCCTGCTTCAGAGCAAAGTACGCCCTTTTGTTGTTACTGGTTTGCTTACAGCATTGCTCGAGACAGCAGTGACAGTGTATGTTTGTTTAGAAAGACCACATGCTTTATGTAATGGAAGGTAACTTGTTAGGAGTAGTTTTAAGTGTGTGTGAATGGTGTTAAAAATGGCTTGCAATAGAATTATTGTCAGTGATTCATTTAAAAGGTAAATCCCTAAGGATCCAATACAGTTAGTTCTGAAAGATGTACTTCCTGAAAAAAAAAATAGAGCAATAATAAGCAGTAAAATACTTCTACATTTGAATGGAAGTTTCTTATTGTGAGGAAACTCTGTGACTGTGGAAAAGAAGCCATTTAGCGAATAATCAGCTAGCTATTTTAAGTTAAATGTGAGAGCTAAGATGAGAAGTTCCTTAGGATTTTACTGACTCTTCCTAACAGATCTACTGAACTTGTGTAAATACATCAAGAAACATGGAAGTAATGCTTCAGGGATTGCAATGGTTTTGTTGTCAAGTGTAGTTACAGTAAAGTTGCTGTGTATGAATTTCCTCTGTTTTTTTCAGTTGTTACGGATGATCTGTACTTTCTGAATTATGTCAATCTTTTATGTTGGCGTGGGGAGGTGTTACTTTAACTCCCTGTGGTCTTTGTGACCTGTAGTCAAGGTACATGGGGTATCACAGAATGGTGCATGCTGTTAGCATAATGTACGTTCGATGTAAAAAAATTAAAACTTTCCCATGTAATCCTGGAAATAACTTGGTAAGATATAGTTTTGCAATTACTCTTTTTGATTGCCTGCCAGTTTATTCCTGTTAATGTTAGAAATTTGAATTTAGTGGCTGTTAACATCAGCTTTAACCTTTTTCAGAACGTGCTGCTCTCAGAAGTCAGTTGTTGCAGAGGTATAAACAAACCAAAGTTAGCACTTGAAATGCTCACGGAGTGTTTGGAGCGCAAGAGTGGAATTTGCAAACATATTCCTCAACAAATAAAGAGGAAATAAAAAAGGTTGATCGAATAAACTAGGGAAATCATTGACCTGCATTACATTCTTACAGTCTGTTTTTTTGAGAGCTATTGCCTAAAAGATTGATTTAATACAGGCAGAATTACCTAGAAATTTCTATTTGGAAGAAAAATATTAATTGCAGCACTGAATAGCCTTCTCTTTACTAAGTTTATCCTGTTTATTAAGTTGAGTGGTAAGAGCTGCTGGCGTTTTTTTCCAGGGACGAACTGTAACAGTTTGTTTTGATTTGGTTTGAACCTTTCAAAAGTAGTGCCTGCCTGCCCCACCCCCTAGGACAACAGAGTAGTGCAAAAACTGGTCTGCCGCTCTTAGTCTTGAGTTCAAAAATGTAGTCTGTGCTGTGTTGTCTTAACCTAACTTCTGAAAACTATTTTCCAGAATGCTGGAGCAGTGATTGGGAAAGGTGGCAAAAATATTAAGGCACTTCGTACAGACGTGAGTATATATGTGTTCAAACTAATTTAACACCAATTCTTTCAGAGCACTGCATCGAAAACTTGATTGCGCATATTTCTAGAAATGGGAGCAGTTCAACTCTAGACCTCAGTAGTCTAGTTACAAGCCATTTGTATTGATTGTTAGAGCAGATAACTTAGTTCCTCAATCTCTATTGTAGTTAAAACCCAGCTTGAGTTGTGTGGGATAAGAGGTTTATATTAAATCTCTTTGCTTTTGAGTAGGATTCCTCTAAATTACACACTTGAAGTGAGTTAACATCCTAATTAGAAATACTGACAGAGCTTAAACCCCTTAATTTTATCATTCCCCATATGCGTGAATCAATTACAGTACTACCAAAACCATTGCAGGTGGCTGGCTTAACCCAGTTGGTAGAGGAATTCTTTAACTTCCTTTAAAAAGGCAAATAAACTCATCCATCTTTTCTTTAACGGCTTGCGCACAAAGATCAAAAGCAATAATGTTAAGCCTGCTTGATTGAAATACAGGTGCAGAACAGTCAAGGAGCATTCCATTCTCTTAATCGGAAGCAGTTTTAGATGGTCATGACTTACTTGCTTATTCACAATTTACAGTGGGTTGACTCTTGTGATTAGACACATGCTCAGCATTAATGTTACCTATTTATAAAACTTGGCAACGCTTCTTAAATTCCATTGTTTACACTCCTGTACTCAACATCAGCTGCAATTTCAACAGTTCTTTTTCTGATCAAGACTCTTCAACACAAGATTTGGCAATATATCATTACAAATCAGTTCCGACTAAGTTCATAAACTACCACAACTAGAGTTGAGGTTTAAGTTAAAATGGCTAGGAATCATATACATCTGCTCACTAACTTTGGCAGCTAGTCTTCTTTTTCTTTTTTTTTTTTTTAGGGTTTTTTTTGGTGTTTTTTTTTTAATAAACCAATACGTCACCTAGGATAACTTGGATTGTTCTCAAAAACCAACCTTCCCGATTTCCCAAAGTTCTAGGAATAGCGATCTCCTAGTAGTAGTGATCTTGACAGGTTTTGTGTCTACCCTCATGAGCCAGCCTCCTAAAGAAACATCGTATGTTAAAAGTACAAATCAGCTTAGTCAGATCAAGTGACTCATTTTCAAGGTCCATACTGTTAAGCCACAGTTGGTGTAGCAATCCGTTATTGTATTAGTCTTCAGAACAACTTAAGCTTGTTTCATTAATTGAGAGTAATGAGTATAGTTTGTATTAAATTAAAATTTATTGCTTTTCCCCCTTTTCCCTCTCCTTGTTTTTTTGGCCATATATCTCCGTTGCCCATGTACTGGATCGACTTGCCCCTGCGTTGCCCACCATGACGTTGGCCCATCCGCCCCTGAACGCCCATGTGAAAACCCTGGTTGGCTATGCCCAAAAATGTGCTCGTTGCCAAACGGGTACCATACTTGACAACTTCCGATTGACTACCCATGCCCAATGCCAACATCCACGAACGCCAATGACCAATGCAGTACAATGCCAGTGTTTCAGTCCCAGACAGCAGTGGCCCCGAGCGGTATGTCCCAACAGTTTATGCCTCACTGCCTGATTAGAAAGAGAGAAATGTATTTTATTACCTGCCTTTGATATAATTAAATAGTATCCCCTTATAGACGGTGTATTGTTTTTTTTTGAAGTTTTCTGTCTTATTTTCCCCATTAAGTCTTTTTGTCACTGAACTTTTACGTGAGTTGCCCACCCAAACAATCCACTTAATTTTATTTCAATGGAAGGAGCACAGCTTCAAGTGTTGCATATTTGCTGCATTGTAAATCAAATTGTTTCAAAATAGTCTCTCGCTCTGTCTTTGTGGCCCACCTTGCTCCCCTCAACATTGCCTGTTCATAATTATTTCTGATGAAATGCTAACTCTGGTTCACTTTCCTTCACTTCTCATTTGCTTTGTCTTTTTTTTGTCTTGCATTTGTATTTGTTTTCTCGGAGAGCCCATTAGTAATCTGATTTCTAACTGGTCTCATAACCTTACTCCAGATACAGTGTTGACCACTTGCATATCCCCAATTTTTCTATGAGAAGGTGTGCCAGTTTTACCTATGTAATAGCGAGGGTATCCTAAATTAGTTGTGTGGGGAACATGAATATTCACTTCTACTTTCAGTTCTGCGTCAGTTTCTTGCCCACTTAATCTGAGCCCTTCCAAAAGCCCATTCTGTCTTTCTCTCTCTTTCTTTCTCTCTCCCTCTCTCTCTGCAAGACCTTCCTAATCTTAAAATTTATCATGCATATATACTGGGCGTAAACAAAGATGCATGTGTTGTAAATGGAGCGAACAGTTTTACTTTAAATGGGGAGTATTGACTGTAAGCTCTTCTGTGTAATAAATCATTAGAATCTTGTGTATGATGATGAAAAAAATTTACTTCTATTTCTTCTTTTCCACCTTCTCCATATTGTCTGGAATTACGGCCTCCAACAGCATCTTGAGCATAAGCGCAGATATAGAGACAATTGGAGAAATCTTGAAGAAGATTATCCCTACTTTGGAAGAGGTATGTCTCTTACTTGTTTCTATGTAGAGGTAAAAGCATAGCTTCTGGAGCAAGATGGTTCTAGATACTTGTTGCTTTTTAAATACAGGAACTTCAAAAGCTTTGGAGTTTCATTTTCTGAAGGATTATGGCTCTCCAACTACACGTTGGCATTTCTTTTGTAGAAACAAGTGGTAGTCAACGTTTTAGACAGTCTTCCCCCTGCCCCCTTTCAAAATAATTTCCTTAGGACCTGTTTTGTCCCCATTTTGAAGTAGTTTTATTGTAACTTGTGTCGTCTGTTGGCTTAGTAAGTAGGAGTGTTGCACTGCTTGATACTTTCTTAAGTTTTTTTTTTTTGAGAGTTGTGCAGCGTAACCTAATAAATAAGGGAAGCCGAGTTAGCATCGGTTGCTGTTGAAGTGACATGCTTAAATAGTTGTGGTCCTATCATGGGAAATACAGGATCACAGTTCAGCAATAATTCAACTCATAGCGTTGTGTTTGGAGAAGAATCTTAAACCCCAAACATTTTGACTATATGTGAATAATATTTTTTTTTTTTCTCGTACATGCGTCTTTCTTGCAGTACCAACACTACAAAGGCAGCGACTTCGATTGCGAATTAAGGCTTCTCATTCACCAGAGCTTAGCAGGAGGAATTATTGGTGTCAAGGGTGCTAAAATCAAAGAACTCCGAGAGGTACTTGTTTTCCTGTTCTTCTAAGATTTGTTTGTTAAATAAAAAACTTAGTGTTTTGTGTTCATAGGGGGCATGTGTAAGTATCTTCTGTGTGGTAGTTCCTTCAGAACATACTGTATGTGTGGTTTCAGTGTTCTGAGATGGATCTGTGAGTTGCAACTTTCTTGCAAACTGTCACAAGTTATTGTGATAGAACCTAGGACTTTGTATCGCGCAATATTTGTGGTAGAGTAATAGCTTTAAGGAAAGGAATTCTTTTTAAAATAAAAAACGGCATTAATCGCTCTTTCCAGAGTGAATTGCTGCACAGACTAGACTTATTCATTTGGTTGGGTATACAAAATGGTTTAGGGCAAATGCATTGCCAAAAACTGATGATAATTCAATAGATGTCTGAATACTACTGTAAAGGGCTTTGATTTTATACTTTTTTAATTCAGTCATCTGTAAGACCACTGTTTATTTCAGTGAAGCAGTGAGATTTTGAAAAGCTAATAGTCTCTGTGAACTTAAAACACCTTCGTGTTCTGTCCTTTCTTGGCATTGTGTCAGAGGCAATTTCAGGTCAGTTCAGGTATAAGTTGATGTCTTGCCTTTCTCAGCGCATGGTAACTAGAAATAATGCTAGCAGCATCACTGTCACACATCTGAAGCATGCTTTCTTGACGTCTGAAGGTTAATACAGCCTGTAAGCTTGCAATGGATTCATGGTCCTTTTGCTAGTATTTAATGGAATGGAGGTGTGGGTGAACCGTGATGGAGAGAGAAGAAGATGGAACCTGTTTCCTCTTCATTCAAAACTACATCAACACATACCTTAACCTGTAATCTTAAAATTAGATTTCTGAGAACTCAGACGCAAGCATGCACTTAAAATGTCTGGGAAATTGTCTTTTGGATTGTTTCTCTATCTAAAACTTAGAAATATTTTAATGGGTTTATAAACATGTTTAAAATACTTAAGATTAATTGGATTTTTTTTTCTTTGACAGAACACTCAGACCACCATTAAGCTCTTCCAAGAGTGTTGTCCTCATTCTACTGACAGAGTGGTGCTTATTGGTGGAAAACCTGATAGAGTCGTTGAATGTATCAAGATTATCTTGGATCTTATCTCTGAGGTAACATTTATTAAGTTTATCTTCATTTTATATTCATGAATGTTAGGGATCATTTGGGTGAAAAATGCCTGTGTTTTCAGTGTCTGTTTTGAATTCAGTAGTAAAGTGATAGATTGCTACCACCTTTGGAAGCTTCCCATTTTCTAGAATTGGGGGTGCATCTTAGGGATGGGGGAAGCAATTTCTGGTACTAGTGGGCCATTGTTTATGCTTTGTGTATCAGTTAAGATGCTAAAGTTGAAGAGATGGGGAGAAAAACTGATTTTTTCCACTCAAGTAATAGCAGTTTCTCTGTTATAGTTAAAACTCAGAGGATAAAATCAGCATCTCCTCTCTTATGAGCACTGTGACATCAAAAACGTGTTCCAAATGCACAAATTCATATTTATACATATAGTATATTAACTTAAAGTATGCCAGTTGTAGTAGTCCTAATTGTGTTGGGGGAATTTGTTTTTTTGTTTTAGTCTCCAATTAAAGGTCGGGCCCAGCCTTATGATCCCAACTTCTATGATGAAACATATGACTACGGTGGCTTCACAACAATGTTTGATGATAGAAGGGGACGTCCAGTAGGCTTTCCGATGCGTGGAAGAGGAGGTTTTGATCGAATGCCTCCTGGGCGTGGTGGAAGACCTATGCCTCCATCAAGAAGAGATTATGATGATATGAGTCCTCGCAGAGGACCTCCACCACCTCCACCAGGTCGTGGTGGTAGAGGTGGCAGCAGAGCTCGTAATCTTCCTCTTCCTCCTCCACCACCTCCTCGTGGCGGGTGAGTTGTTGCATAAATGCATCATAGAAAACTCAGGCTGTGTACACTCTTGTAAGTTGTGTTCATGTTTCTGCTGTTTTTTCTGTGCTTCCATGTGGGTAGTGATTATGCAGGATTGAGTGTGTATAAGAGTAGGGTATTTTGAAAACTAGTGGAATTTAATTATTTGCTGCACTGAGGTTGTTTACCAGGACTGTAGTCAGTAGTTCTGAAACAAACTTTTATGCCATCCAGTCCTTGGTTAGAGTAGTTTGAGATTAAGCTCTATGTGAACTTAATTGAATGTCAAAATTAAATTGAAACGTATGATCTAGTTGGTGACACAATTCATGTGCTACTGCTCTTTTCATTTTAGAGATCTCATGTCCTATGACCGAAGGGGCAGACCGGGAGACCGCTACGATGGCATGGTACGAGTTAAGTTTGCCTGGTTCTGTTTTGTGAGCACAGTTAATACTGCTGCTGAACATGTGCACTTAAGTGTGGGATGTGCATGGTTCTGATGATAAAACCAAAAGCTTTTGTCCATACAAATGGTCCCTCCTGTGGAGGAATATTTGGGGTGTAAGTGATATCTGAGACACGATCTGTTTTCTTCCTTCCCTCCCTGCCATCAAAACTGATTCAGAAGGTTTGACTATGTTCTACCTTGCAGGCTGCTTTTTGCACTGACTCGTCTTCCAAATTTTTTTAATTGGGATGACAGAAACAGTTGGGCTTTTCAGATAAAGCAAACGTGCCACAACAGTGTTCTCTGAAATTCTTCAAGTGGTATAAGCATTCTTGCTGCTAATATTGGAAAATAGGAGTTTAGATAAAATAATCCAGGTTTTAGAGTAGGATCTGTGAAGAGCTCTGGCTGATCTTGAAGCTGATTGCTCCTTTGGATCAGTTTTGTGTGTTTGATAGTTTCTCTGTCTACAGAAGAAATACACTAGCTCCAAATGTTTTGGCACTAGGGCCACTGCTTAGTGGAATCATCAATTAAATTAGGTACATTCAACCACATTAATGCTAATTGCTGAGGAGAAAAAATATCTCATGGTATATGAAAGCTTAAAAAAATGCTGAAAGATGCTTTTCCATGTTATATTCTGCAATGTGACTTCCCAGCAGTCATCTGTTATACTAGATTCTTCTTTCCTGGGAGAAGGAATCATGTGTCTGGGATGTAAATCTCTGTGTTAACCACCTTATTTTCTCATAATGAGACAAGATCCTTTTTCCGCTGCCCCTTTTCCTTGCCTCTTTCTACGAGTGAGTGGAATCATCTATGGTCATTTTTTTTTGTTGTTCCAAAAAGCAATTTTATTTCCACTTCACAGTGAAGCTGCTTATGGCTTTTACTTTTTTATGACCAAGTATCATAGCCTGTTGCTTCCCAATGAAATCTGTATTTAATTACTAATTTTAGTTAACTGTGATCCTAGTACCCTAAATTGTGTAAGCAGATAGGAAATCCTCATATGGATTGTGAGGCTGGAGCTGGAATTAGCATGCCAGAAATGTAAGGTTTTTGTCTGCTAATTTTATGTAGAAGACATTTTGTAGCAAAACACTTAAACTAGAGTAAATCAGTGTCAATGCAGTATTTTCCATACATGCTATAAAAGGTAAGACGGGGTGCTTTTCTCAGATGATCATTTCAAAAATGGTGGAAATGTTGAATGCACAGAAATAATCTTGTTTTGGGTTTGCGGGGTTTTGCTGGGGTTGCATGTGTTTTTCCTCTAATTTGTTTTCCGCTGAAGGCAGAACGAGTAGCTCAGGGCTTAAGATACTTGCCTGTCAGCCTGTCTTGCAGCTGTAGTTTGATTATGCACTGCTGCTGAAAGAATTCATTTGGTTCGTAGTCTCTGTTTTGAAGCTTTTTCTGGAAGAACAGACTTGTACTCTTTCTGTGTTAGCAGAGCTATGTATTTCACTGTGTTGATTACCCCAAACCAAATGCCTATGGACTATAAGGGCTATTCTGACAGTTGAAATAACCTGAGTGTATTTCTAGTATTTATTTTTTAATACTTCCATCCTCATACTTTCCACATACATACGTGTACACAGACATTAGTGGGGGGGTGGAAAATATGCTGCACAAGCATGTGAAGTAATTTCATCCCCTCACCTCATTTAGTTAACTGATAGGGTAGTAAAATTTTCAAACTTACAAAAATTTAAACATCTGAGTTAATAGAGAATTAATGTCTCCTCTTAAGTGGATGATATCTTCACAGACTTCTGTGTCTTGAATTCTAATGTGCTTTTGCTCCTAATGCTTCCCAGTTATTAATTTTTTTTTTTAACTTGCGTATGTATGAGTACATACAGGTGTCATGATGTTTGAACACTTGAAGGAAGGCGCATATACTTAAATACAAAACATTCTTCATGTGTAAGAGATGTGACATTAACGAGCATATAAAGAAATCATTAAAGGAAGACTATATGACAGTTTCTATTTATGCATGCAGATGCTGGAGAAAAGTAACAATATTTCACTCTCCTAGGTCACTGTTAAGAACCAGAGAAAATGATGATAAAAGAATTTTACATCATTTAAGGACTGCATGCATTTTTTTCATTAGATGTAAAACAAGCTCTGTGCTTTATCCAGCCAGCATGTCATCTGGTTTCTATTCTGGTACTAGTAGTCACTAGCACAAATTTGTCTGCAGAGTGGAATACTCTGTTACGTATGCTCAGATAGCCTCTTGGAGAGACTGGTTTCAAAGTGCACAAATAAACACCAATTGCCAACATTGTAGAATTCTGAAAGAGATTATACATATTGTGTGTTCTGAAAACATAACAAAATTTCTAAAGCAGTTAGGCATCAGTAGATTGTTGGTCTAATTACCGGATTTGATAGGGGGAAATTAAGTGGTAGAACAGCAGAAGCAGTGTCCTTTGTGCTTGACCAGCTGTTGGCATAGAGATAATGACTGGCAGTTACTTGTTTCAATCTTATTAAACCTCAGTTTTGTAATGCCTGGCAGAAATGAAAGATTTTCATATATATAATAGCACCTTGAAGGTGTTCGAAAAGAAAAGAAAGGTTGTTCACGCTCTGCTCTGCCTTCAGCTGTCTGACCATTGTTAGAGGAAGAAACCTGGTTACACCACAAAAAATTGAGTGTGACCACTTAGTTCCCTCAAAGTGAAATTAAAAAGAAGCCTTGAAAGTGGTCTAAATCACATACTTTCAAGTCTTTGTAGTGGCATAAATGTTTTTCTGTACCAGTATGTATTGCATTTGCTTGCCGAGTTACCTCTAAGTCTGCATGGCATGGACTCACTTGAGATTTCTTTCCTCTTTTCCTGCTATTATGTTGTGTGTGGAAGATGATGCAGTGTCACGTGGATGCCTGTGACGACATGCAGCCACCAGAGCTGGTGAGTGCACTCAGCCTTTTTTTTTTTTTTTTTCATTCAGACTGCTTTATTGCACAGGTTAAGTGATAGCGTGAATTTCTCAGTCTTGATTATAGTCAGTGGCAGCTTGCACCTATTGAAAACCATAAAGCTGTCCTTTTGACTTGGGCTTTATTGGTATTTTGTCTTGACATTATGCCCTGTGCTGGAAGCTACTGTTAGCAGAAATGTAGAAGTATGCAGCAACAGCCAAAAGAGAGAAGCTTCTCTGTACCTCTTTGGATCCCTTGCACTTCATTTTTATGTTGTAAATAGTAACTTTTTCTAATTCATTGCAGATGCATGCATTTAGGATATATTTTGTGTTACCTTCATAATGATGTTTTCTCATTTCAAACTGCAAATCCTAAAAGTAGCTTCTTACCTACATTAGTGGATGAACTGTTGCCCTTTATCAATATATTTGAAAATAGACTGATCGGAGAAGTTTTAGAAAGGGAAGTTACCAGGTTCATCAGGTGTTCATGCTGTTTAGAAAATGGCAAAGTGCTGCCAAATACTAAATACCGGTTCTTAGCTTACATAAACATATCAAACCTAGTTGCTTAATTTTACTGTTGACAAGCTGATTTGCTGTCCAGTAGTCTGGGGAGGCAGAAATGATCAAGGAAAGGATGGTTAACACAGATTAGCCCAAAAAGAGGGGAACAGGCAGTACACTGCTCTGAGCTGCCCTTGACTGCAGCTTTAAGCAGAGTCATGTTTTGGACTGGCTGGGATCTCTGTTACACTGTATCACAGTCTGTGTTTTGACACAGGCAGGCCCTGGTCTCACCTCACAGAGGCCACCCCAGCAGTCTCTTGAGAAGTTCAGTTCTGGAGAAATGTGCGTATTTCTATAGGAAATTATAAAAAATGGGGTTTTGTGCACTTAAGAGGCATTGGATGATTTGAAAGCACTTGATGTCAAATATTAGTCTAGAAATCCTAAAAATAGAGGCTGGGAGCCTTCATTGCAGTGATATGGATTTGGTATGTGGTGGTTTAAGCAGAACAGAAGTAACTCATATCTGTTTTAAGGTACAAAGGTTTGTAGCATAGTGTGAATTGAGAGACAAGTTATAGAGCTTTGTTTTTTTTTCTTGAAGGCAATCAAAGTAGGAGAATTAGCAGTGGTCAGGTGAATTTTTCTGTCCCCAAGCTGGAGACTTTAGTCTCTCCTGAGCTGTATTAATAGCCTCAAAGTTGTATTCTGGTCTTCTCATTTGAATGGTAGTTTAGTGCAGGGGTGAGGCATAGGTCAGCGTCAGGAGCTGTCTGCCACCCACTGAATTAGTGAGACTGATAAACTGGTCTGGCTGGATCCTTTCTGTCATTTTATGCCTTATTCCTAGAGGTTTTGACAGGGCAGGGTAAGAGGTAACGAGGTTAACACACACCATCCCCTTTTTGTTTCTGGCCTGCCCTCTTTGCCTTGCTGTGCCTTTGATGGCACAACACTGGTATCCACAGCGAGGCTGGAAGTTGGGATTTTTGCATAGACTAGGCTCAGAGTTAGCAGTGTGATACCTCAGATGAGAATCTGTTAATGAAACATGGATATTAAGTTTTTTTTCTCTTTCTCTTACAGTTTGAGGGTGGCTCTGGATATGGTAAGTGTTTATGTAGAACCTTTACATGTACTTCATTACGTAGTTGCTAAAGGGCTTGATGCATACGTTTAAATCAGATTATTCTTACGCAGGGGGACGTGGCTCATACGGAGATCTTGGTGGACCCATCATCACAACACAAGTAACGATTCCCAAAGATGTAAGTGAAGTTGACTTGTTTTCACCTTGTATTTTCTTCTAATAAAAAAAAGTCGCAGCCTTTTCTTAAGACTATATAAGTAAATGTGAAGTATCTAGGGTGCTTGATAAGTACTTGTCATATAAAACAAGTGTTGCTAAACCACAAAAAGTCTATTCTTCTGTTTTGTCTCTTCACTTTAGAGACATGCTAAACAATTTTACTAATCGTTAATATTCAGCAATAGGGATGATCTTTGTAACTGGTTTTGCAAATGAGCAGCTGGTTCTCCCAGTTTCATCCCAGGTGTGTTTATGCAGTTAGTGTTGCGGGGGATGTGTTGAGGCTGTGAAGAGGTAAGCTTCCATTGCAGTTCTGAAAACTAAACTGGTGGAAGCTACTCAGACACGGCTGTGATTTTTGCAGCTTTTTAGAGAGAAGGTTGTATTGGGTTGCTAACGATTTGCTTTCTCCCCTAGTTGGCAGGATCTATTATTGGGAAAGGAGGCCAGAGAATCAAACAAATACGTCATGAGTCAGGAGCTTCGATCAAAATTGATGAACCATTGGAAGGTTCAGAAGATCGGATAATAACTATTACGGGAACACAGGACCAGATACAAAATGCACAGTATTTACTGCAGAACAGGCAAGTTAAAGTTTTACGTTGTCCCTACTGCCAGTTTTAAACTGAGTGACATGTATGTGCTAAAGCTGCTCTTCTCTGTGATGGGAGTTTGAGAAGGCAGGGTTTAAGTAACTGTTTGAGCCTAACTTCTCCAGTGGTAGTTCTGCCTTGATTCTCTCCTGTTCTCCATTCTAATTAAAATGAAGAAACCCTCAAAACTAATCTTGCTGGAAGACGCCTTAACCAAGCAGTCCTCTCATTCTCTGGTGAAAACTGCTGCAAAAAACTACTTGTAATAAATTACATAGAGCCTGTAGAAAATATAGAAGATTTCAGTGGATGTTGGCCTAGTTCTGTGTGGAAGACTAGTGATTTTGTTGTTTTTAGATAACTAAATTGACAACAAATCACAGTCTGCCATATGGCACAGACCATGCCTCTACAGGACAAGTTGAAATCGATTGGGTGCCGTTGTGCAGCATTTCACACCTTGCTGACAGCATTTTGCCTTTTCTGCCAAACAGCCTTAGATTTAATTTGCTTAGTTTTGTTTTATTAACATGTTGGTGGTCATAGTAGATTTTAATGTTGCAGCTTGAGTGTTTGGCTTTAGATTACTAATACTTAAATGTGCCTAAAACAGATTAATATACCTGTAATAATTAGCCCTTAATATTTTAAAATCATTTATACTTGTAAATGCATTTAGGAATTTGTAATTTAATCTGCTCTAAGTATGTCATTGTGAATGTTGATGCAAGATGTATGGTCCATCATTCTAATACGTGCTTTTTTCTTTTTCTTTTATAGTGTGAAGCAGTATGCAGATGTTGAAGGATTCTAATGCAAGATTATTTTTTCTTTTTTATAGTGTGAAGCAGTATTCTGGAAAGTTTTTCTAAGACTAGTGAAGAACTGAAGGAGTCCTGCACCCTTTTTTTTTTTAATCTGCTTCTCTTTAAAAAGCCAACATTCCTCTGCTTCATAGGTGTTCTGCATTTGAGGTGTAGTGGAATCTTTGCTGTCCACCAGATGTAATGTTTTAGTTCTTTACAAGTACATGGGGGGGAGGGAAAGGGCGCACGAGACTAACAAACATTGAAACTTTGAAGCAGCAGAGAGAGAGTGAATTCTATCTTTGTTCATTGTTGGTGGTAAACTTTAACATTTTTCTGTAATTGTTGTGAAAACCCTGCTTTTATGTACACTGTATCTTTTTGAAGGGGTGAGAAAACTCGTTAGTCCACTGGTCCCTGGCCTCCTCTGAGAGCAGCAGAATGTAACGCTCTTTTTGTAAGAAACATTTCATAATTTTAAAATAAATTTAGTGAACCTATCCTTGGTGGTCCTTTTCCTTCAGATATGCATAAGGTGATATCCAGAATGAATACACCCTTTCCCACCCCCCTCATAAGTGAAAGTTGCCATTAAGCTTGCTCTTCTGCTTCTTTTGACACAGATGGAGTTATGTTTGGGGATTTTGACAAATTAAAAGAAACTGTGCAAAAACGGTGACTCTGCTTTGATGTTTGGGTGGGGAAGGGGGGGGATGCAAATACACCAGTGCAAACGTTGTGTAAAACTTGACATTTTTGCAAGTGTTTGGCCCTCTTTGCAGTACATATATATATTGGTGACAGTATATAAATAAAATATTTAAAACCTTTGTGATGTCACTGAATAAATGGTGGTAAAGTACACCTGGCTATAAACAGCTTGCTTAACACAGATAACGCTGTTAGAAATGACAGTTGCCTGTACCATTACTGAATCAATTATAGTTGTTTTCTGAGCTTTTGTTTGAGGTAGAAATTCTTAAGATTTGACAAATTGAAAGTAACTCTGTAACTTGTTTTTCATTGTATGCAGAACTTAAACTTGTTTGGTTTCCCTGTCCTATGTTGAACTCCATATGAATTGTGTGTGACAAATTAAGAAATATATAGGCTCTGGATATCTCATGTAATACTTTGGCATTTGTATTTATAGTTTACAGGTTTGAATTTCACTTCCTGAATAAAAACGAATTTAAAAGCCACAGAAGTTTGTTTAACTTACGGATAGGGTGGGGATAGCGTGGATTCTTTTGCTGTGTTTGGTGTTTTTCGTGTGTGTTTTTTTTTTCCTTTTCATTGGGTTGTAGCACATTTCACTTGCATTCTTTAATCCTGAGAGTTAATTCCTGTCTCAGCAAGCAGCTGCTCTTAAAATTCTGTGGGAAAGGCGAGGAGCTCAGAGGTGGTGCGCAGGGGTCCGTGGTAGAAGTAGAATCCGTTCCTCGATGAGAAGGGTTTCGTGATTCTGCCGGGAGCGGTTGTGTCGTAGCTGACGTCACGCCAGCACCTGCGCGGGAAGGGCCGGATGCGGGGCGCGGGGAGAGACCCGCATCCAACGCAAAGGTTTGGAGCAAAATGCACGTGAACTAAGACGTCGGGTGCCGACTTTTTCTGCGTGCCTCCAACTTTTGTATGTGAAGAAGGGTGGGGATAGGACTTCATTTTTTTTTGTTTTAAATCGTGAGGAAAACTCCAACAGGTACTAACCTGCAGAAGTTCTTCTTGTTTGGGTGGGTGGGGATTTTCAGCTTGTTTGTTTTCTCCCTCTTCAAGGACGTAGATCTTTCGGAAAAGTCTGGAGCGGCATAGGCCGTTCTCCAGCTGGGCAGGACCGTGGGGGTGAGGGCGTGCGGTACGTGTGTGTTCCCAACAGCCAGCCAGCCTTTTGGGCGCGCGTGCGTGCCGGCCGAGGAGCTCCCGCGGGCTGGGGGTCCGGACGCACCAT